TGTGTCTAAGGGTTATCAACAATAGAAGGGACCCAGTTGTTGCTGCTAGTCTTGGATAGGATTTGTTGGCAGCGCTGAGCCAGACTTTTGTTTGGCTTTCTATTCCTCTCTGCATCAGGCTGATAGAGAGAAGAAAATGGGAGATCAATGTTCCAACGACAGTCGCTTCTTTGTGATCTCAAACAGCTTGTGCGATGTTAGCCATCAAAAACAAAATCCATATTCCCAGTCCTCAGGTTGATAAGTGTAAAGAATGTGGTAATTGCTATTTGTGGTAATTTCTTCATTGCAAAAAAATCTGCTAACATTCACAATCAATACACAGTGACTGTGTGTTGGGTGTTGAATGAAATCTTCATACGCCAGTCTACTTTGGAAAGACCATAAAAAGTCAATTTTAAAGTGAAACTTACAAAACTCCACAAAGACTCTACTCTACTCTATGAAAAATATTAGAAACTGTGCGTTAACACTCTCTATAACAGAATAATAATAAAATATTTAGTTGTTTGCCATTAGGTGTTCTGTATGAAAGATATCCTTTGTCTTTAAAATGGTTATAAAGTAGTTCATCTATATTTAATTAGGCAATAAAAACAGTGATTAATAATAGAGTTGACATATCAAATAAATTACATTATAAAACTCTTCACTCATTTATGTTTAATTGGACATAGAAAGTAATGAAACAGATGCATATGGAAATAATAATATAAATCAATTTGACAGTTTATTTTATTTATTGTATTAACTGCATTTGGACCTACCAGATGCTTTTTTCATTGACCAACTCTGCTTTCATTCACATGATCCTCTTGGGGTTTGGCCGTCAAAGCCCTGGGATTTTGAGAAAATTTAAATCCACAAGAAGTTGTCTTCTTTTAGATTCCAATAATTCCTGGGACGAATAGGGTTAACCTGGAGCTGTGTGTGTGTGTGTGTGTGTCCATGCACCCCTGCCTCTGTGCACTTGCATGCACATGTGCGATTGCAGGTGGACCGTACAGAGGTGATTCGCAGCAGTAGCAGCCCCGTCTTCTCCAAGATCTTCCTGGTGGACTACTACTTTGAGGAGGTCCAGAGGCTCCGCTTTGAACTTCATGACATCAGCTCTGGCAACAATGGCCTCCGCGACGCTGACTTCCTGGGAGCCATGGAGTGCACCTTAGGACAGGTCAGTGTGTCTTTTTGACTGGTCATTGCTTGACTAGATGGGGAGCTAATGTGAAAGAGTGCATGGTATGATAGATAAGTGCACACAAAGGTGAGTAAGTGAAGCTTTAGCAGAGTTCTGGACACTTACTGTAATCTCACCATGTTAACTTGATATCACTGTCTCCCTCCACTGTACACTATTCAACAAAAGAAACATCTCCTAGAAGCCAGGCTTATTTAAATTTATGTGAAACAGCATGTTAGCCAGGTCGCTGCACAAGCTAAGTGGTGCGGGAAGTATGGAGGTCTCATCTAAACTGCGAACGGTGAGAGCATGCTTCTGCAGGTCAATGCATGACAGGAGTGCATTTATGTGCATCAGTGAATGCATTCACAACCAGCAAATTGCATTTCACCAGTATATCCCTTACAGTATGAGTGTTTTGTTTACCAGTGCAGAGCATGGACATTTCTGTGAGACCTATGCAGGCATGAATGCAGGGTGTAAAAATGTCAGGCTCATGTTATAATCCTTTGTAAAGTTATCTGAGCTTGTTGGGATTTTAAACGCCTGCATCAGGTAATGTGAGCTTCAATAAGGGCGAGAGAGCAACTTTATGATTAGAAGGGCTACCTTTAGACCTGGATGGAATCCTAATGTGATCTTTTCACTTGAGGTCGGCTACTGTCGCTATCTGCATTTACACTGAGCTTTCGATGTCCTTGAGTCCAGTTACGTAAATCCCTGATAACAATTTTTTCAAAGCGTTTATATATGCATACGCTAATACATAGGGTGTTTTTTCTCATGTAATGGTGTTGTTGCCTCTCTTCATAATCTAGTTGTACTCAATATTGAAAGATTTGTGTAGTTCAAGTGTTTCTTTTAACATTCAAGAGCATTTAAGAAAAAATATTGCAACTGCAGTGGTCCTTATTATCAAGTTGATTTCAGGATATCACTAGCTGAGAAAAAAGAAATAAGAGGAAAAGAGTTCCAAAAAGTATTAAAGTGTTTGTGTCCGCCTCCCATTGTCAGAGACGCTGTCAGCAGCATAAAGCTGGTGGAATTACAATAGTTGGGAGAACTGAGATAACTGACACGGACAAAAGGGATTTTGAAGGCGAGAGCCATCGAGGTTTATTGAAATAGGATAACATGCCGCCAACATTTTGTCTGTGTCCAAACAACAACATTACCAAATGAATATTAATGATAAAAAGGCTACTTTAGCCATATCAACTTAAACATACTGTATGTAGCATTGTGTCTACAAGCTTGCTTTTATTGTCCCCAAGTGGCAAAAAAATAATTTTATAAACAATAAAGTTGGAGTCAGGGAAAGTCTGTTTTCCTTGTAATATTTTATTTAAAAATGAAATATATCTAAAGCCTTTTTTTCATATTTGTACATCAAAACTGAACACATAAAGATGCACTCAGATACAATCTTTCAGTCAAAATGAAAGAAGTAGACATTCCAGTAATTAGCCCCCAAAACAAAACACCTGAGTATCCCTTTTGCTCTTTGGATTAACACTGAATCACATGACTCCCTGTAACTTCCTGTAATTTGAAAGCATTGATCGTACTGCGGATCCCACTTAGAATCAAGCTCATTGTTTTAGTTCGCCTACCTGGTTGATGAACCCACTCACCGACCTCTCCATGTAAACTTGAGCGGTCACTTATAGCTTGTGTAACACCTGGCGAAAAAGAGTCCAGGAGCTAGCAGATCAGGGATACAACAACTGAGAAAATTACATTTGACAGGTGGCAAGAAAGGTGACTGCCATCCTGTTTTCTGTCCATTGGATGTGTAAAGTAGGCAGTTATATGCTATTAAGGAGAAGTGTGAGGTAACACCAGGGTGACACTAGCAGGGCGAGCTTGTCCCTCTGAGGAGAAACACTGATTTTCGTGGACTCTTCGTTTCTGTTTCTTTCAGATCGTCTCTCAGAGGAAACTGACCAAAGCTCTACTCAAACAGGGAAACACTTCTGGGAAGTCCTCCATAACGGTGCGACACTGTTTCCAGAGTCAGCTCCACCACAGTTACACACACACACGCCCCACCACAGTTACACACACACACGCATGCACGCACAAATCACACATGCACCCTCTCTTGCACTCAGACACTCTGAAGATAATTAATTTGATGATGTTGCCTGTTCAATGTGCTCTGTTTGTCATTTCCATATAATTTTCTCTCACCTCCTTCCTCTCTCTCTCTCTCTCTCTCTCTCTCTCTCTCTCTCTCTCTCTCTCTCTACGCCTCCCCCTCTTTATCTTTCCCCCATTTTTTCCCTCTCCACTCCCCCCTCTAAAGGTGACAGCAGAGGAATTGTCTGGTAATGACGATTACGTTGAACTCTCCTTCAGCGCTCGTAAGCTAGACGACAAGGTTTGTGTGATTGTGTGAGATCTTTCTCAAAGATTAAAAACCTGTGGTTTTCCCTTAGCTATCGGAGCCATTCTTATTCAAAGATGTGTTTGAGTGTGCGCTGTGCAGGCAGGTGTGTGTGTGTGTGTGTGTGGGTGTGTGGGTGTGTGGGTGTGAATAAATCTGTGGGTGGAGGGCTGTGGGAATTGACGATGAAGCAACCCACGCACAATACACAAAAGTACAATCTGGCATTAGAAGAGGCCTGCTGAGATAGGTGAGCACCCCCCTCTCCCCCTCCTATCTCAGCCACACCACCAACACACACAGATAACTATATTAATTTTCAGCCTCCAACACACACACACACACACACTCATGGCCACGGATGACTAATCCAAGCAAGTTGTGCCTTAGGGGAAAGATGGAAGAAAGCAGGGAAGGGGCGGTTAAATTGGAGAAGACAGGAAAGGAAGAAAGGAAGAAATAAGGAGTGAAATAATGATTCTTTCAGTGTTTGAATGATTTATGGTGATCAAAGGCAGTTCTGAGGCAATGCCTTACATGCGTGTTTTTCCTCTAAAGGATTTCTTCAGCAAGTCAGACCCCTTCTTGGAGATTTTCAGAATAAATGATGATGGGACCGAGTCGCTCGTGCACAGAACAGAGGTAATTACATGCGCACACAAACACGCATTTTATTTTCAAGTATTATTTTCTGCCTCAGGCCTGTGATTATCAAAAACTGTGATGTTTTTGTGCCCTGCAGACGATCATGAACAACCTGAGCCCAGTTTGGAAATCATTCAAAGTTTCCTTTAACACACTCTGCAGTGGTGACCATGATAGGGAGCTAAAGGTGAGTCTGCAACTGTAACTATTTCGTACAGGTCATTAGAATGTCAACATCATTTTATTTAACCTTTAATATAATGGGCAACGATCTGAGCCTTGGCTAAAGCGCCCTTCATTTTTTAATAATAATAATAATACATCAAATTTATATAGCGCTTTTCAAAATACCCAAAGACGCTTTACAGGGCAGAGACAAACAGAACAAACAAACAAAAATAAAGAAAAAAAGAAAGACAGAGGAGCAAACAAAACAAACAAACAGAACATTTTGGTAAAAAAAAAAGAAATAACTGGAGAAGCTGTGCGGAATAGGTCATGTAGTGGAGGGTAGGGTGCAGGGGTTGGCAGGTGAAGGCGAGTTTGAAGAGGTGGGTTTTGAGGGCTTGTTTGAATGATGATAGGGAGGGAGCCTCACGGATGTGGATGGGGAGGGCGTTCCAGAGGGGAGGTGCAGCAGCTGAGAAGGCCCTGTCACCCCAGGTCCGGCGCTTGGTCCTGATGGTCTTCAGATTGTTTGCACCGGCGGACCTGAGGCAACGGGTTGGGGCGTGGAGGGGGAGGAGGTCTGAAAGGTAGGGAAGGGCCAGGTTGTTTAGGGCTTTGTAGGTGGTGAGTAATATTTTGAAGTCTATTCTGTATTTGACCGGGAGCCAGTGGAGGTTGTGAAGGACCGGGGTGATGTGTTCATAGCGGCCGGTGGAAGTGAGCAGTCGAGCGGCAGAGTTCTGAACATATTGGAGTTTATTGAGGATTTTGTTGGGAGAACCATGGAGGATGCTGTTGCAGTCGTCGAGTCTTAAGTTCCCCAATGCCCATTTAGAGGGAAAGGCTAAACAGCACCCGAAGGCCTGCAGGTGTTTCTTTGCAAGGTGGTTTTTCTGTGCAGCATACAAATGATGAGATTTGTAAAACATACACAGAGTGCTACATACCCACTCGTATATAAATTAATCAAACCATGTAAACAAGTCACAAAGGAGCCTTAAACATCTCCTTCCAGAGTCATGAGTTGAGATCAGGTCATGTGTTGCCTTTCCTTTAGTCCTGATGTGTTATTTAAAGAGCCGGGCGGGTGTGAAAGAGCTCAGTGGTCGTCCTAAACTCTCACCTTTACTTGCCTGAATAGATCTGCGTGCATGTGCATGTGCATGTGCATGTGCATGTGAGAAAGTGGCGGCCGCACAGCATCTCCAAACAGATATTCTCACCATGAATAAACATGAACTTGTTCATTAAATATTCAGAGGCGTCTTAACTCTGCATGGCTCCTGACAGCAGGAGAAAGGGCTCACACTCTCACTCACACACCATCGGCTATGGTTTCCAGGGCTACCTGTTTGAAGCACCAGAGCTAAATGGCAGGGCAGAGATCTCTATTCAGACCAGTGCTTGGTTTTCACTGGGCTCTTAACTGACCAATGCATAAATCCATATCCCTCCTCTATAGCGTCTGTCTGTCTCACACTTTGTATTTCTTCTTATCCGTTTCCTCCATCTCTCTCTGTCTCTCTCTCTCTCTCTCTCTCTCTCTCTCTCCGGCCAACTGTTAGTATTCAGTGAATGGGAAGGAGATTCTTCTTCTTTTCATTACTCACTCTCACAGCTCTCGGCAACTTGAAGTGGAAGCAAGGCTGCAAATCGAGCGCTCGCTCCCTCACACACAAAAATGATTGCCGAAAACACAGACATGCATGCGATCCACAAATGATCAGACACACACTTCAGGTGCGGGCACTTGTCAGCTCAAGTGGGAGATCTGAAATAAGGGGATTACTGCCAGTAGTTGCTGTTAATCAATCGTTGTTGGATTGTTTCAGAATTAGTTGTTGGAGTGACCTCAGGCAAGAAGGTCACAAAGCTCAACAGCAAAATGACACAATTCACAGCTGTGAAGGGCAGAAGCATTTTCTCCCCCTTCTATGTTAACAAGAGTCTCTATTGACCAATGTGTTGTAATATTATTGATTATAAAACCTCTGCGGGACAGTCTAGATAATGGTGCCATTTTTAAACCTTTTCAAATTATAGGGTTGTTTCTTTATTATGTGCACAGCCATGGCCCGCTGACCCGCACATTTCACTAGTGATTGAGGCCATTTATCTTGTCTGGCAGCTCCTTTGAGAGAAACAAACTATTACAATGAAACATGCACACACACACACACATACACACATAAGGCGCTCTCTTAAGCCACGTCCCTCTCAGCATCCTCAGATTAATATTTCACCGCTCCATTGCCCCCCCACCAACACTGCCTTATCAATCATTCAGCATGGCATTTCCCTGCATGCCATGAGTGCATGTGTGTGTGTGCATGTGTGTGTGTGTGTGTGCATTCAGATGACAGTGTTGCAGCTGCGCTCTAAATGAATGAATGTGTGCGCTTGTGTGTTTGTGTGTGTCTCTTTGTGTCTATTCCAGGGCACAGTCTGGGACTGGGACTCTAATGGAAAACACGACTTTATTGGGGAGTTTCAGACCACCTTTAAAGAGATGAGAACGGAGCAGGAGGGCAAACAGGTGAGCACATGCAAGGAGATGAATGGTTTGATAATAGTTGGATCTTTGTCACAGCTTTATATATACAGTATATACCAATAATCTGATGATGAGGACAGGTTAACCATCCAACCTGCCGGAGAATAAACATATCAGAGTGATTCAAAAGTACAATTAGTATACAATTAGAACTAAATCAAAACATATTTTAAAAAGTTATATGATTTGAAAGATTATTGTCAAAAAGCTGTAAATGTCCACACATGCATCTGTTAACAAACACTAACATACATGTAAGTTATACTCAAACTTGTAGAGCAAGCAGCCACAACATAAAGAGATGGTTCAGACCTCTTGGCTGATATGACATTTACATGAAGGTGTGTGTGTGTGTGTGTGTGTGTGTGTGTGTGTGTTTGGCCAGCTTCAGTGGGAGTGCATCAACCCTAAATACCAGATGAAGAAGAAGAATTACAGAAACTCTGGTGTTGTCATTATCAACCACTGCAAGGTGAATTCTCTCCCTGTATGAGTCTCACAGGTCAAGTAGGAATTATTGTCTTCATTATTGATTAAAGATGCCCTGTGGAGTTATATTTACATTCAATGTGTGTCTTTTTGAATGTTTGCTTGCTAGCAGAAGTCTTCCCTGTCTTTATTGGCCTCTTTTCTACACTTCTTGGTGCGCTATCGTCGACTAACTGTTACTTAATGGAGTAGTGTGCAACCAGTGGCAGGATTGTGGGTGCATGTAGCCTGAGTGCATGCTTGGATATGACCCCCTCGTACTACTAGTGTACGAAAAACTCCACAAGGTCTCTTTAATCTGTCAATTAATTGTTTAGCTGATTAGTTGTTTAAATGTCACACTGAAAAATGCCCATCTCACATTTCTCAAAGGTTTCGTCTTCAAAATGCTTGTTTTGTCCAATTTACAGTACAAAACCAAAGATATGAAATAAAATCAAACAGGAATAGTTCATTTTGTGTTATCTAATCAATTAATTATTTCAGCCCTAGTGTTGAGTGTCACCACGCATCAAGCACAGCCACATCCACATCATTCAGCTTTTATTATATGCTACCTTGACTCAATGACATCCATAAATCTTAACATCCCCCTTGACAGATCATAAAAATGTATTCCTTCCTGGATTACATCATGGGAGGCTGCCAAATTCAGTTCACAGTAAGTTTTGTCACATATAATCTTTTCAATATTTATAGCAGCATGTCATTGCCTGTCCATGGCCACTCATGCGGTGTGTGTGTGTGTGTGTGTGTGTGTGTGTGTGTGTGTGTGTGTGTG